CGGATTCATCGGAAATCTTTTCNGAACTTGCTCTCTCTTTGGTTCACCTATGAGTAGTTGCATTCATAGTTAGGCTTTTACCTTCCACCCGGGTTCTTTTAGGCTTTTTTTGGGTCTTTTTGAACTTAATGTTTCGCCGAACAGACTGTAAAAAACTTTTTCCAGCTTTGATATATAAAATTCACATTTTATCAAAAAAAAAAAATATTTAACATAAATTTTAGTGGATTTCTAGGGTACATCTTTAGATACCAAAATCTAAACTATCATCCAAAAGCTATAAACTCCACTGACAATTTTGACAAACATTAGATTTTAGAAATCTATACTTTAAACCGCATACATTTTTATATTTAAAAAATCAATATCTAATTAATTTGTCTTCCAAAATTCTAAAGAAAAGACAAACAATTAAAAGAGAATATAGAGAAGGTAAGCATCAGGTCCGGTAGTTGCGTCCGGTAGCCGCAAGCAACTGCGTCCATAGGAATCCCCTGCTTTCTAGTCCACCTAATCTCAGGTACACTCTACTCTCCCACTCAATTCTAGCCGTTCATGTCAGATATATATGGGTCCCATTCTCCTACTCATAGCTGTGGCTGTGCCCTTGAGCACGTGGCTAAATATCATTGGGTAGAAGCTATATATGCATTGAGCATGTGGCTAAATATCATTGGGAAAAGACTATATATCCAGCTAACTTGTCAGGTTCTAATGGTGTTCGATTATAGTATCTGAAAGTAGTAATGAAGATCAGGTTCTAATTAACCTATATATAAAGATCAACTTTTGTTCTTAAAGTAAACTCCATTATTATGCGAGGACAAAATTATCAGATATAAATATATTAAATTTAACTGAGATAATGTTTCTAGATTCCCTTTCACTTTGTGAAAAAAATAATAACGAAACTTGGCACATATTATGCTTCACACAATCTCCACGAACTTTTTTTTTTTTTTTTGGTCTAATCTCCACGAACTTATTTATTCAAAAACAATCGACAAAAAAAAAAAAATTTATTCAGAAAACAAATCCAACCGATTATAGGAAAATATACAAAGTGGACGTAAGCTATATATAGAAAGTTATAAAAAATGTTGTCTTTGTTTTTAATATACGTGTCGTTAGAGTTACGTAAACATATACTAAAGGAAATATCTAAGAACATTTTTGTTATGTAAATATTTAATTAGATTTTGGAGAAATGGTAGGTACTATACTAACAAAATGAAAAGAATGTGTCCAACGAAAGATACTCGTCGTGGGGAATATGTACCACGAACGACTGGCCCAATCGATATTATCTTGACGGTCCAAAATTCCAACACTATAGATAATAAGATAAAACCTTATACATTCAGATATATTGTTACGAAAAAAAATAAAAATAAACAACCTCGTATTTGTATAGTTGTAAGAAAAACGTTGTTATTGGGCTATACGTGTATCAAAATTACTTGGGCTTTAAGTTAAGTTGATGGTTTAGGTTTGGCCGTCATTGTTAAGCTGTCATCGTCTCATGTATAAATACATGTCTTTGTAATGTTCATATGCAAGTCAATACAATCAATACAAATCTTATTCTACAGTTGTATATATATTCCGAAGTTACACAAATAATCGTTTTAGTCGATACTCGATAGGGGTTACAACTGTTACGGATCTAAAAAAATTTCGGAATCAAGAATAGTAAAAATTAAAAGAACACTTCTTTGTTTACCTCTTTTTTTTTTTTGCTAAAACGTTTGTTTACCTTCTTGTCAATGAAATCAGCCCAAAAGAAGGCTTGAGCTCTCTGGTAAGGATCAAAAGGGAGGAGTTGGTTCTTGTCGGACCAGACCTGGTCGATGTCTTGGACCTGTATGATAGATTCGCAGACCGGTTTACCATTGTGGATGAGAACCGGGATCTACTTGTAAATCGGATTCATTTCAAGAAGCAAGGGACTCTTGCCATTGAACAAATTCTCTTCTCTATACTCATACTTCACTCCTTTCTCTTTCAACGCGATCATCGTCCTCACACCGAACATGCTAGGCCAGAAATTCAGAAGGATAAGCTCGTCCGCCATTTTTGTTATCCGTCAAGCTCTTCTTCTTGGTTCGTCTCTCATTAAATGTGTTGTGAATGTAGGTAAGAGAGGAGTTATGCATGTCATTCAGAATTATTAAAACCTTTTTGACCAACCATATTAAACCGTTTAAAAAAAAAAAATTTAATTTGTGATATAATGCATTTTCGATTATAAGAAGTTCACCAGAAGTTGCTTGTTTTCTAAATCATAAAGCCATATAACCTAAGTTCTTTCATTGGTGTTTTTTTTTATAAACCTCGAGAATTTCAAACTATTGATTCATAATCTATTTCGTCTTTGGAGTTACTCTTTTGATATTCCCATCCCAAAAAAAAAGTTGAACCCGGAATTCAAAAAACAACCTCTTTCTGCCATCTCACATTTAGTATTTTTTCACTGGTTTTGTAGTAACTTTATAATATATTGTATTCTAATGGGTAATATTGCTAGTGGTGTATTAAGATATGTGTCGTGATATTACATGTTGTATGCAGCTGATTAGAAAAATCATAGTTATTTTATAGAAAGATTAGCTAGAATAACCTACTTTTTTTTTTAAATAACTAGAATAATCTTACTATTTTTTTATTGCTAAAACAACCTATTCTTGATTTTTTTTTATTTCATAATACCAAAATTGTCATTCGCATACTCTACGATAATATTGGCAGACTCTACCGAGACATTGGTAGAGTAGCAGACTGTTTACCAACATTTAGAAAAAAGTTAAAGTGTCTACTAGAAAACCGCCGACTCTGCCGAGATATTGGTAGACTCTGCCGAGGTATTAGTAGATTCTGCCGAAATATTGGTCGACTCTGCCGAGGTATTGATAGACTCTGCCAAAACATTGGCAGACTCTGCCGAGATAATGGCAGACACTGCTAAGATATTGGCAGACTCTGCCGAAACATTGGTAGATTCTGCCAATATCTAGAAATTCGCAGATTCTGCCAAAAAATTAGCAGGCTCTACTAAAACATTGGGAGACTCTGCCGAGATATTAGTAGACTCTACCGAGATATTAGCAGAGTTTTCCAGTATCTAGAAAAACACAGAGTTTGCCGAAATATTAGTAGAGTCTGCCGAGATGTTGGTAAATCACTCAGTGAACAAAAAAAGATTGAGGCTAATGGTTTCTAGAAAAAGGGATTTCACAATCTATGGAGAAGAGTTCAACAATTCATTCAAAAAGAC